GTAGCGGCGTGGTGCTTTGCCATTGCGTCTGCGCGTTCATTCCACGAGCGGCCCTCGCGTCCGCGGGCGCGCCAGATGGCGGAGCGGCGCCGCGTTTTGGCAGAAAGAAAAATTACCCGTGCTAGTCGCGCGAGTGGGTCGGTTGAGTCTTGCAGCTGGGTGATTAGGCATATTGCGTTCGCTGGGTCGGCGTGCATCTGTGCATCTATGCGGGGTGGTTGCTGTGTCGCGTATATGGTAGCCCATATGAGTGCTGCTGACTAGCTCTACGCCGGCGCTGTCGAATCGATCGCAGTCGATGCCGGCGCGCACGCCGTGCGCGAGGCTGCCGGAATAGCTGCCTATATAGCTCGTAGTGGAGAGCTGCGAATGCCCATGATGAGTTGTCTTTTTTGCGCCTGCGGTGATCCATTGGTAGCTGTCTGGAGTTGAAAGGGAGAGCGGCTCTGGTCACTGGGTAGAGCTCAATGTCAGCGAGGTCGCGCGCGAGTCTGATTCTCCGTTGCGAGTCGGAGACAGATTGGAGGATGCACCTGGGAAGTGGCTGCTGGATGCGGCGAATGGCGAAACTGTCTTCAGTGGCTAAGCCGGGGTGGAATCTCGGCTTAGAGTCGTCGAATCCGCTCGGTGGATTGCGCGGCGCCAAGCCTGAATTAGCACTGGTGAAACCTGTTGGCTGTTGAGCCGAGTCGGTGATTGGTTGTCTGGGGCGCTGGTCGTACCTGGGAAATCTGGCATGGTTGGCGGTTGTCGCGATGCTCGTGGGCTGCGCTGCGGCGCGCTTCTCGGGGGCGAGTGCGAGGCTTTGGGTAAGTCGTTTCAGCGGCGTGAATGGTGATTTTTCTCTGTAGGGAGTAGTATCTCCGGCCTGCTGAAGTGCGTCGCACTGTGCTGATACCTCTTGCTGTTGGGGAGTGCCGCAGTATCTCGGCGCGTCCCTAGCGTTCATGTCGCGTGCAATTGCGGCTCTGGGTTCTGGCGCGCGAAGCAAGGAGTCGCGCTCGCTTGCAAACTGAGCCGGCATCGTTGGTGCACGCATCGTCCTTGGTGCTGCGGGCGTTGCTGGTTCTGTCGGCGTGATTGGGGCAGGCCCTGTCGGCGTGCATAATAACTGTTGGGTTGAGTCGACGGTCACGTCGTTGCGCGCGTTGTCCGTTGGCTCTCTCGTGCTCTCGCTGAAGCGCTCAGAACACCGGTCGTCTCGAATTGCGCCCCCTGGAATTGCGTCGCCGATGATGTCACTCAGTTGGTTTCGCATGCGCTGAAACTCACGTTCTGCTTTTGCTGGTTGCGAGTGCTCCGGCTGCATGCGCCGGCGCCCCCCGTCGACGACGCAGCGTTCTAGGTCGACAAGTTGCTTGATTATTTCGTCGTCGTTCAAGTCTCGGTCGTCAGGCTGCGCTGGTAGTTGTTGTCGCTGCTGTGCTTGTCGCACTAGTTAATGTAGCTCTGATTGCTTATGCCCGTGCCATCGCTCAGATTGCGCCCGTGCCCTCTCGCGTTTCAAGCTCATGCTGCCGTTGTTTAATCTGGCTTGTCGTATCTAGTTGGCACTGCTCTGCGGTGGTCAATTGTCGCGGGTAGCGTCGGTTGACGGTCTGTAGCCATGCTTCTGCGTTGCCGAGGATGATCTGGGCTGCTGCTTCTTCGTGGCAAGTTGCTACAATTGTAGAAACTTTGCGGCGCGGTCTCCACGTCGTCGCGACCGCTTCTCGCGCTGCTATCACTTCTTCGTGGAATCTTGCCTGGGCGCGTGCTCTGCGCACTTCTTGCCTGAACGTCGTTCTCGGTGCCTTCTTAGGCACTGCTCTTGCCAGCGTAGCGCAGTCGCCTCTCGCTGCAGGCCATGTTCTAGCAATTGAACCCTGTGCTCGGCCACGCCCATGCAAGATGCACGTCTTTCCTCTAGTGCTGCTTGTTGCTCTTTGTAGAGGTTGTGGAAATGTTGCGAAGTGTGTTGCACGCGTTGTTCACTCGCCCCCTCTGCCTGGTCGATGCCACGCCGTTGCTGGCACGCTTCGCGCGGCGGTTGGGCTGCGAGTTGCCGGCGTTTTGCCCGCAGCTCCAGTCGCAGCTCGGCAATAGTCGCCACGGACTATTCTTCTGACTTTCCGCGCCGTTTGCGCGCTGTGCCCTGGTCGACCAATGCCTTGGCCCGCTCTTGTCTGGCTTGCTGCAATTCGTTGCGGCGGTACAGCAAGTGCGTTGCGGCCCCTTCCAGTCGTTGGTTTCCTAATGTCGTTTGGGCTGCTGCGAGCTGCGCGTGCTCGTCTTCCTTGGCGGCGCGTTGGATCGCGAGCTGCTCAGTGCGAGTGGCTTGTCATTCGAGATTTTGCGCTGCTCGTAGCTGCTCTTTTGCGTTGTGGCAGCCGGTTGAAAAATAGTCACTGGCTGTTTGTAGTTGCTGCACGGTGCCTTCAGCGCTCTCGAGTCGTCGTTGTGCTTGCTGGTCGTCGGCGCTGGCCTGCTGGGGTCTGTCTTAATTCTTATATAATTGCACCGCTGGCTTGTAGGTCGTCGAGTGCCTTTTTGAAGTGTCTCTAGTCGAGCGACGTCTTCTTTTGTGCGTAGGCTCGGCGACTCGGGCTTGAGCGGTCGCAATGGGGCTTTGTGATGTGAGTATTGATCGAATTGGATAGTTCGGGCTCTTGGCGGTGCGTTGCGGGTCGGTTGTGGGCTCGGCACGTGCTGTCGCTGCTAGGTTATATCCTTCTCAATGTTTGCGTAGGTCTTGCTGGTTCGCAGGTGGTCGTCGCGTCGTCGTTGCGTCGGTTTGAGCATGGCCTCGGAGATCTTGGTGCATGCTGTGTAGTCACCTTTGAGTTGGCGCATGTATTGTAGCTGTTCATGCAGCGGTTTCTGTTCGAGTAGCTGCCTTTTTTGTAACTGCCAACTCGTGTCGTAGGTGTTATGCTTTTTGGCCGGCCTTCTCCTCTGCTAGTATGTGTGATGCTAGCTTCCTGATGCTGGCTGTCTTTGATGTAATACATGCTCCAACATCAAGTGGTGTAATGCCTGGGCGGTCTTTGTTCCAGACGTCGTCGTAGAATGCCTCTGGTATGCTGTCGATAATCTCGTCGGCTGCATGGTCAATGTATGCTGCGTGGTCAGCGTTGCTGCCGAAGTTGGGTTGTGGTTGTTGGTTGTCATGTCGATTGCTTGCTTGGGTCTGTCGCTGATGAGTGTTGGGTCTAGGTGGGGTGGGCCTTCTTTGGCTGCGGTTGGAGTGATGCTGATTGTTTGCGTGTGTGCTGTAGTCGTTGCCTTTGCTGTGCTGCTGTGTGGTGCGTATGGGGTTGTAGTTGGGCGTCGAGGTGTTGGTTGCGTTTTAACCCTGGTGGCATTTTATGCTGACATGTTGTGTTTGGGCCTTTGCCGCGTGGCTGTTGGTGGTGGTATTGCCCTTTGCCTTTGCCTTTGGCTTAGGGTGCTGGTGCTTGCCCGTACGCGTCATTGATTTGGTTGTACATGTTTTCCGTCGCGTTGCGTGGTGGTCGCTGTGCACTGTGATGTTGGTTAAGAAGTTGTTGTGTTCTCTGTATCTGCTGCTGAATAGGTGGGCCCTGTAGCGAGGCCTTGCTGATGCGATACGTAGTAGCGTGCGCGCAGCTGCTCTGTTCTCTCTTCTCCCGTCTGTGCCACGCTGGATTGGTAAAGGTGGTCGGAGTAGTGGTGATTGTGGTCGGCTTGGTTGTCGACGTCGATGTGGGATGCTGCCCGTCCGTACTGGTATGCTTGGGCGTCTGATGCCGGTGTCGAAATTATGAACCCTTGACTGGCGCAACACTTGATAAGAGGCTAAACAAGAGACAACGCGTAATAAGTATACTGGATGGGAAAACAGATAATGTACGACAAAGGGTGTACTGGAAAAGTATAGAAATAAGGCAGAAATATGGGATGGTGGGGAATCGTGGCCGATGGATCGGCGCACTGCCACTAACGCGCCTCACTCGCTTGGCGGTTCGCGGCTCCTCCTCCCTCCTCCTCCTCATCATCATTACCATCATCATCACCAGCAGCAGCATCAATCGCCATCCCCATGACCAGCAGTAGCACTCGCCATCGCTCACTGTCTCCATCCTCAACATATTCACTTATCGTCCTTCAATCTGCACATCAGCATAACCATCATCACAATCATTCACAATCCTCGTGCCCAGCATCGTAGTCATCGACACCCTTACCATCATCCTCGTCCTCGTCACTCTACGTCCATATCGTCGTCATCAGCATCACCACCATCATCGTGGTCATGATCCGAATCATGACCATAATCATCATCATCATCATCATCATCATCATCATCATCATCATCATCATCATCATCACCATCATCATCATCATCACCATCATCATCATCATCAGCATCATCAGCATCATCATCATCATCGTCATCGTCATCAGCATCATCATCAGCATCGTCATCATCATCATCATCATCATCATCAGCAGCATGATCATCACCATCAGCATCAGCATCATCATCAGCATCACCACCATCGTAATCTTCATCAGCATCATCATTATCATCAGCACCGTCATGCCAAGCATCGTCATCATCATCAGAAGCAGCGTCATCATATTCGCTATCAGCATCAAAATCATTCTCATCATCAAACAACAGCATCATCAGAATCATCATTAACATCGCCACCACCACCACCACCACCACCATCATCATCATCATCATCATCATCATCATCATCATCATCATCATCATCATCATCATCATCATCATCATCATCATCATCATAATCATCATCATCATCATCATCATCATCATCATCATCATCATCATCATCATCATCATCATCATCATCATCATCATCATCATCATCATCATCATCATCATCCTCGTCCTCGTCGTTGTCTTCCTCGTCGTCGTCGTCGTCTTCCTCGTCGTCCTCGTCGTCGTGTCGTCCTCGTCGTTCGTCTTCCTCGTCGTCGTCCTCCTCCTCGTCACCTCTGCCCTGCGCGTCGAGGGCCCGTGCGCTGGCCTCGCTGCCCGCCTGGCCCGCGCGGGGCTCCTCGACGACCTGCGGCTTCAGCTGGTGCTTCACCTCTGGGGGAGCTTTCGGGGAGGGCAGGAGGCGAGGGCTCCCAGAACCCCTCGAGCCATGACAAAAATTACGACGGATCTTTTTCATGATTTGCGGCCTCTGAGAGTCCTTACCCGGCGTCGGGACCGTCAAGAAACAACTCAGGATGGGGAATGGGTCGAGAACTCTGGGGATCGACGTCGTGAAAAAATCATGACGTCGGAGGTCTGGGGAGGACAAGCTAGGTGTGCTCGTGCCATACGGTCGGGAACTGTTGCTTAGCGTGTCGCAGCGGCGGCCCATGCGACACACTACGCCATGCGAGCGGATAGCATGTCGCTCCTCTCCGCGGGACGGGGAGACGGGAAAAGCTCGGGACCTTGACGAATGGGGACTGGGATCTGGATAGCGAGTCGTGCCAAAGCGAGGTAGGCCAGAACCGGCGGAGCGACACGCTAACCAAAAGTTCCCGACCGTATCCTCCTCCTCCCCCTGCTCCTCCTCCTCCTCCTCCTTCTCCTCCTCCTCCTCGTCCTCCTCCTCCTCCTCCTCCTCCTCCTCCTCCCCTCCTCCTCCTCCTCCCCCTCCTCCTCCTACTCCTCCTCCCCCTCTTCCTCCTCCTCCTCCTCGTCGTCCTCCCCCTCGAGGAGAACTAGCGGGGTACAGAGGAGGGAGGAGAGAGGATGAGGACAAGCTAGGTGCACTAGCGTCATATCTGACGTCCTACCCCTCCCTTCCATCCCTCGCCATTGAGTAGAACTCCTCTTTATTCGCACAGTCGGATGTCGAACAGGGCAATGAGCCCGAGAGTACGCGATGCATGGGACAGCACGGCATAGCCTCGCATCGCGTCGAGAACGCGACTCGTTTCGACAACATGGTCAGAGGGAAACCAAAAATGGCACAGGAAGGGAAATGTAAATGGACGGTTTGGAAGGCGGGAAGCGCAGAATGAGATCAACGCCGTAGCGGGAGCACGATTTCGAAGAACGGGAACCGCCGAAATGAGTCCAACGCTGTAGAAAGAACTGGAAGCGCGGAAACGACGCCAACGCTGCAGCAGGAACACGTTTTGGAAGACGAGACAATGAAATGAGGTCAGCGCTACAGCGGGAACATGATTTGGAAGAACTGACAACGGGAAAAAAGGACCCAAAGCTGTAGCGGGAGCGTCATTCTGAAAGGACTGAAAACGTTCGGACGGGAAAAACACATATGAATTATCAATTCGGCGGCATCCTGTTCGTGCAAAACATACGCTGAGGAGGCCAGGACACCTCACCGCCGTCTTCGGGGGAGAGAGGAGAGTAGTATTCATATTGTATAACTGCTAAGCCGGGTGCACTCGCGCCATATCTGACATCAAAGCCCTCCCACACATCCCTTCCAATTGCGCTGTTTTTGTTCCCTGGCTTTCGCCGCGTCCATCCTGCACTGAGTCGTTTCCCTGCGGCTCGCTAGAGCGACGGTCGGTGCAGCGGGCGGACAGGCCGCATCTCGCCTCCGAAGAGGGGTGTTTGACTGCTGATGTCGACCAAATCCTGCTCCTCCCCTCCGCAATCCATCGTCTTCTACTCCTCCTCCTCCTCCTCCTCCTCCTCCTCCTCCTCCTCCTCCTCCTCCTCCTCCTCCTCCTCCTCCTCCTCCTCCTCCTCCTCCTCCTCCTCCTCCTCCTCCTCCTCCTCCTCTTCCTCCTCTTCCTCCGCCAGCTGCCCTTCTGCCCTCCTGCACCCTCCCTCCCTCCCCTGCCCTGGGAAATCCACGTCCCCGCCCTCGGCGCGAGCGACAGCCAGGCTGGGAAGCAGACCCCCCCCCCCTCGGCCGCTTCGCCATGATGTAGCAAGGCATGACATTGTCGGCCTTCTGCAGCACCGCGGCCAGGGACACCTCGGACGCGGAGGGTGCCACAGGCGAGCGACAAGGCCCTCCCATTCCTGTTCCGTCCTCTGCCCTTCGCCTCCTCCTTGTCCTCCTCCTCCTCCTCCTCATCCTCCTCCACCTCCTCATCATCATTATCATGTTCATCCTCCTCGTCCTCCTCCTCCTCCTCCTCCTCCTCCTCATCATCAGCATCAGCATCATCATCATCAGCAGCATCGTCATCATCATTAGCATCATCATCATCACCATCATCATCAGCAGCATCATCATCAGCAGCATCAGCATCATAATCAGTATATTCCTCCTCCTCCTCCTCCATCTCCTCCTCATCCTGCTACTCCTCCTCCCACTCCTCCTGTTTACTCTACATGACTAGTGACTAGTGTGGTTCAAGATGCAAGACTCTCAGGTGAATCAAGTGGATACCGATGACCCGCGCAGACTTTGTTTTTCACGGGATCACGATCCCGTGAACAGCTCTGCGGTAAAGGGCCTCTTCTCGCACCCCGCAGCGCTCGCCATGGTGCAGGGAGCAGAGGCTCAGCGCCGCGGTGGCTCCAGCTGGTGCTACGGATGCGGCTGCCAGCTCAAGCCGCTCCAGCTCGAGGCGAAGCCGCGTGGCAGCGTCTGGGCGAACGGCTCTGGCCCTGCTGCCGCGGGAACTAAGGGCGGCAAGGCTGGCCAGGAGTCCTCCATGAGCGGCGGCGGCAAGGGCACCCAGGGCAAGGGCACTGGCGGCGCCATGGAGGCAGCGGGGAAGGCCCCGCCACGGCGCGGGGAGCGCAGCGTCGCGGACCAGCCCATGGCGGTCGTCGACGCGCTGGGCCCGCATGTGGACTCCAGCAAGGTCCAGGCGCTGCGCGCTGCCGCCCCGCCCTCGAGCCAACGCCTGAGATGCCGCCCGAGCGCACGCCCTCGCAGCGGCTGCACTCCGCCATCAGCCGCGAGGACAACGCGACCCGCGCCTTGGAGAGAGCGCGCAGCCACCACTACGAGCTCGAGCAGCAGCTCCTCGAGGCTCGCGCGGAGCTGGACGACGCCTGCACCGCAGTGGCCAAGGCTCGCGAAGAGAAGCAGCTGGCCATGCAGGCCCAGCTCCCCGAGGCCACGGCGCAGCCCCCAGCCTCGACCGACACCCCGGCGCGGGACGCGGCCCCGCTCAACGACCTCGAGGAGCTCGACCCTGCCGCCCGCGGCGCGCTGCTGGCCGATCAGGCGACGTTCTAGGATGAGGAGAAAGAGGCCAAACGCGGCCATGACAAGCGCAACGCGGCCTGGCTCCAGCGAAAGCTAGCTGCAGGCGCGCGAAGCGGCAGTTAGAGGCCAAGAACGCCGCCGACCCCGACGAACCACCTCACGAGGCCAACGCACCCACGTCGGAGGCAGCCGACGGGCCAGGCGCAGCTGCCGACACCCGCGGCGGCAAGGAGGCCATAGAGCTCGTCGTCGGCTGCAGAGGCCGCCCCGCGCGCTGGCGCCGCCGGCGACGCGCGCCTGCGCGCGGTCGCCAGAGAGCTGGCCGAGGCCCAGATCGCCGCGGAGAGGCCTGGCCGCGGTTTCGACCCTGCCAGCGCTGCCGAGGCGGCCAAGGGTGATGCGACCGCTTCGGCCGCTGCCGCGCGTGCTCCTTGTCCTGGGTAGCGCGCCCACGCCACCGCCACTGGGCGCGATGCCACTCGCCGAGGTGATTGAGCTGGCGCTGCGAATGTAACGGGGAGCGCGGCTCGGACGTTCTTCGACAACATCACGGAGCACGGCCCCACTGCCCGCGGATTCCTCGCAGGCCGCGGGGAGGAGTTCGACGCGGTGGCCTTTTCTGCGAGACCCACGCGCCGCCGCAGGCCTCCGAGTCCTTCAAGATTCACATCCAGAAGGACAACTGGAAGGTCACCGCCACGCCTGGCACCCCGTCGGGCAAGTCGGTCAGCGTCTACACGGGCGGAGAGGTGCTGGCCGCCAAAAAAACGCTTGCGACCACGACCGCTGAGGGCCACCGCCGTACCACCCTGGAGCGCACGAAGCGGGAGGCCGTCTTCGGGTGCGTGCCCATGTTCTGGCAACTGCAGCAGGAGAACGCGCTGGCAATCGTGGCGCACCTGGTGCCTGGGCTTCGGCTTCGCGGGGCCAATCAGCAGAGGCTTGCGTCTCCGGCAGCTACGTTTTGCCTTGGTGAAGGACCCAGTCTTGGTGGGTGGCGATTGGAACGTCGTGCCGCGGAACTGGGACGAGACCGATTGGCTGTCCCACCTCGGCGCCAGCATCACCACGCCCACGAACGTCCGCACCACGCGCGGCAAGGGGAAGATGCACGACTACGCGCTGGTCTCCCCAAGATACCATGAGCACGCGCGGATCTCTGGATTGACCAATGTGCCTCGGAAGACCCGTTGCGGGCTGGAAATCGAGCTCGCAGCCAGCCGCCGCCGCCAGTACCACCAGGCGCCCATCACCCCGGCCGCGCTGCCGTTGAGGCAGCCGCCCGCCAAGGCCGCCGACCCCAGCTGCCGTCGGCAGCAGCGCTTGGCGGCGCGAGCCCGCAAGCGCCGCGAAGCACTTCCTGGGGAGCTCCGACCTGCTCACGACGAGCTCGTCCGGCTTGATGACGGCGACCATCACAGCGGCCACACAGATGCCACTACAGATGCGACGGTCCCTAGCGAGGCCGTGCATGCGACCGCCGCCGCGGGGCCCTTCCTCCTGCCCAACAACTACGCTCCCATGATCGGGGCAAGTTTGTCATGCTGATGGCGATGGGCATCCGCATGTTCGCTCCTCCCAGGGTGGGCGCGCCGTCGGCCGCAGCGTCAACGTGGATGGCGACGAGCAGAACCCTTTCGACATTCTGGACGGCGTTGATGCACTGGGCACCACGCCCCCCGAGGCGTTCATGATTTCGACACCAGGCGCCCACGATATCGCGGGGCCATCGCGCACGACATCTCATGGTCAGCAGGTCGGCCCGCCTGGCCCACAGGGCGCCCACGCTGGAGTCGCGGGACCATCGTGCACGACATCCCATTGGCAGCAGGCAGCGCACACTTCATGGGAGCCAAACGCTGGGAAACGCTGTCCAGTCACCTGAGCTTCCACGGGCGCCCACGCCGGATTCGCGGGGCCATCGCACTAGGCGCCCCATGCAGAGAGGCGCGACGAGGCGCCATACTTGGTGGACGAGGCTACCTGGCTGGAATGCGGCCCAATCTTCCGCGCCCAGACTTGCGCTCCGCAGCGCGCCAAGTCTCAGAACCACTTCCTGTCCGACCGGGCTCGGTCGGCCACGGCCAGCGCGTCGGAGGCCCACGCAAGCCGGGTCGGCACGATGGAGGAGGCCGTCGTCTCGATCCAGGGCTTCGAGGGCAGCGAGGCCGCCGCAATGCGTGGCCGCGGGCGCGGGTGCGTCACTTAGCAGCGGAGGATGAGATCTACGCCAGGCCGCCCACGCCCGCTCGACCCTGCCTTGGATGGACGGCATACGCTGCACACATTGCTGGTCAGGCCTGCGGCCCTGCTCACGCACGCGACCGATCCTCCACAGCAGCACCTTTGCGTTCGGCACGCCGAGCCCTTGCTATGGGAACGGTTGCCAGAGGGCAACCACAGGGCGCACTTCGAAGTGGGGCTCCTGCCCAAGGCACAGCACTGGCTCGTCCTGCAGCAGCCGACATCGTGCCCCGACGACGTCGAGAGACACGCGGCCTGCGCCGAGGTCTCGCGCAGTCACGCGCTGGTCCGCAGTCTGCAATATGCTCGCAACGGCTTCATACGCTGGGCGACCGCCTCATGGGGGAGCGGCCTGGCCGAGCGCATCGGCGCGTCAAGGCTCCTGAGGCTGAGCAGCTTGGGACTGCTAGCCACGCGCATAGCACCAAGGTCCCCGAGCTGCTGCCGAGCACCTCCAGCCCCGACACGACCATGAAGAGCAAGACCTCGCACTGGGAGAGCGCGTGGAGCGACCCCACCTTCGACGCGGCAGAGCTAATCGCAACGCTCGCACGGAAGAATGCGCCGTCCAGAATGGCTGTGTCACGGCTGCGCTGCCCCTCGACATCGACAAGTTCACGGCTCGATCTCACTCGGGCACCTGCCCCCCGCAGCCCCGGAGCAGAGCTTCCCCGCTATCGCGGGAACCGTGGAGGTCCAGCTCGTCGCAGGGCCGCGCCACCTGCGGCAGCGAGCCTGGCTGGGGCCTCGCCTGCAGGCGCAGCGCTCCGCGACAGCGGGCCCCTGCCACGGCGGCAAGCTCGCAAAGGTGCCGCTGGGGCCGCTCATTGCTGGAGCGCATATCGCGCGCGCAAGCGCGCCCAGCTGTGGACGCTCATCGACGACGCCGTCTTGCGAGCCGTGGGCAACCACAAGATGGTCAAGGAGGACATATACGGGTCCGCCGTCAAGCTCAAGGATGGGCTGGACGAGGCGCGCACGGCGGCGTCGCCCAAGACCGCGCTGGTCTGCTCCGACCCCGCCCTCGGCCGTGCCATGGCCGCGGGCTCGGCGCACCTGGGGGCCTCCGCCTCGCACGCTCCGCAAGCGGTGGACCTCGGCGTTGACACCGCGCGCGGGCGGCGCCGCTGCCGGCGCAAGGCGAAGGGCCGCTTTCAGTCAACCCCAGCGTGCCCCGCTAGGATCTTCAAGATGAGGAAGGAGGTCCGCCTGGCGCGCATCCCCAAAATGCAGTGGACCACAGGCGCGCAGTCCTATGCGACGGGCGCACGGCCACCAGGCTGCAGGCTTGGCGCCGCCATCTCTGCTCGCCATTCGCCGAGACGCCGCAGCGGCTGCCGTCGGCAAGGGGCCAGGCCGGTGTCTGACCACCACGCTGGGCGCCATCTACGGGCAGCGTGACCAAGGCCTAGAGCTCCACCGCCAAGCGTTCAACCAGCGGCTGGAGCTACAGCGCGCACGGCCCGAAACTCACGGTCGAGTCCAGCGCGCCTGGCCACGCATCTTGGCAGAGCTGACCTAGACCCACGCTGGCGCGCGAAGCTGGCAGCGCGCGCGAGGGCCCGTGGCCGCCGTTAATCGCGCTCTGGCCGCACACGGAGTGGCAACCGCTGTCGCCTCAGCGTTGGGCGCAGCCGACGGGCGCGCATTTTGTCGATGAGTGGCGCATCACAGGCCCGCTGGACCCCGATTTCACAATCGCCGACGCCTCCGAGCTCCCAGAGGATCTGCAGGCGACTTCCGACGGCGCGCGTGGCGGCGCGCGGCGCTGAACGCGGTCCGCGGGGACCCGTGGACCAGGGAGCGGCAGGCCCGCGCAGGCTGCCATTCCGACCCCTGTGCGCCCAGCGCTGCAGGACCGAACCGGGGAGCCTGTCCCACGGGCGCAGCACGGGACACGCCGCCTGCGAGGCCGCGGAGCTCCTGTCGACCCGAACTCGAGCGGGCTTGGGAGCCGGGTTGCGCCTCGCGGCTGCGAGGCGCGCGCGCGTCAGAGGGGACAACGCCCGGTTTCGACGAGACGGTGGCCGACTGGCAAGAGCAGCCCGGCTGCCCATCCGATGAGTGCAGGAGCGCGCCCGACGACGTGCTCGACGTCTTCGGGCACGGATCGGGCGGACAGCACTCGTCTGATCCATGCCGACGGCGAATTGCTGCCGCCGTCGCCCTCCCCTGGAAATGATGGGCAATGGCTCCCCGTCGCCGCCGCGAGAGGCGGACTGCGAGGCACAAGACAGACAAGGCCACGGGCAGAGACCCGCGCTTTCGCGCTGTGCTCTCAGCCTTCCGGTGGAGAGATCAGGGTCCACTCAGGTTGCAAATCCTCTCGTCGAAGCCTGGCAGCCACCTAGATTTGAGAAGTGCGTCGGCACTAACGGTGACCTCCAGGTTCGAATTCGAGCAACCCTCAGACAGAGAGGGGGGTCCCCTATCAGATGACGAGGCCTTGTGGGTTCCCAACCGTCTTGATGACTCGCTTGAGCAAATGGTGAATGAGGGCCTGGAGTATGTTGCAATAGGAAACGTGCGTGTCGATGAGTTGGCAGGGGGTGCGGCCGAGACGGATTGGACCCGTGCCTTGATCAGCAGTGCGCCTCTTACCGATGCTTCGGATGCAATCGAGGCGCTTGTGAGGCGTCGGGCCCGTTGGGGGACCTCACGGACACGACTTCCCAGGACCCCTGGAGTTCGACTCATGTCGAGCGCGTGCGTCCCCCTGGCCAAAAGAATCTGAAGCGCACGCTGGAGCGCAGTCGGCACCCTGGACAAAGGTT